TTCCATAAATCGTACGACTTTATGAAATCAAACTACTGAGCGCTCAGTTCAGATCATCTTAGTGTTAGCGGCCCTTCAGTTCAGATCAATGATTTATTTTGGGCTTTTCATACCTTTTTTTTTAAGAAATAGGACAGTGGAGAGAGAGAGAGAGAGAGAGAGAGAGAGAGAGGAGAGAGAGAGAGAGAGAGAGAGAGAGAGAGAGAGAGAGAGAGAGAGAGAGAGAGAGAGAGAGAGAGAGAGAGAGAGAGAGAGAGAGAGAGAGAGAGAGAGAGAGAGAGAGAGAGAGAGAGAGAGAGAGAGAGAGAGAGAGAGATTCAAACCTGGGCTGCCCGCTCTCGAGGTCCAAGTCTCTGTACATGGGGCACACACTAACCGCTAGACTATCAACACCCCGTTTATCGTTTGCGGATTACTAAATGAATCGGCCTGCAGACGCATATGTTAAGTTTTTACGTGTAATAATTGAATACACTTCATTAGCATTTGGGTTAATAATTAGATTATACATCCTGCTTTTACACATATTTCCTTTATTATATGTCAATAGCAACTGCTAAATTATGCATGTCATTGCTGAAATGCCAGTGATGTTTTCCATCACACATTTCTTTTTTCCCCTCTTCTTCAGGTTTTATTCATTGTTTTTTCATATATACTGTATATATAAACATATACAACCTTTTTTTAATTTTAACTAAAGCACTGTATTTGAAACTTGTACAGTATACTCGCACAGATTGGATCAGTAGGTCTTTGGGTCAAACAGGCAACCTTTTTGTCCTCAACCAAATGTGTTTTTCGTTTATCATCCACTGACTTAATGATGATGGGCCCCTTCCTTCAGGATGCAGCGGAGCGTCTCTCCCTGTTCACAGCCGAGGAGGAGATCTTTGCCTTCCAGAGGACCGTCTCCAGACTGACCGAGATGCAAACAGAGTTGTACTGGATGGAGGGAGACCGCAGACGCTGCAAAAAACATGTGAACACTTAACACCTACTGCTGATTGCTAGACAAACATATACCTCTGGACAACACGGTACCTCATTAACTTCAAACACAGCGTAAGAGCAGTTCCTGTTTAGCAGAATAAGAAATAATAAGTCATATTACATCAAAGAAACACCTGATATATATATATATATATGTGTAAGTATGCTAAACAAGATGCCCTATTTGGCTTGGGATCTGACTTTCCTTCATGTAAAGTTTGTGTCTTGTTCTCCTGTTTGGTCCTCTTTTATGAGGTGTGCTCTCTCCCCCTTGTGGACTATTAAATGAAAAAAAAAACCTCCCGAGCATGAGTGAACCTCAAAACAAACAGGTGCCTACGTCAGGCAGAGAATGCAGGCAGTGTCCCTCAGAGCAGTCAGCTACCGCCCTCTTGTGGCTGAATGTGAAAAGGTAAAACTATTCTAAAGCTCCTACTGTCTTTATGAATTATTTATCCATACTGTCTGTGTGGTTTTGATGAAACCTCAACTGGTAGTAATTTAAAACGTTATTGTCATTATTTTCATGTGTTGAATTAATGAAACTACACCAACACTGTACTGTATGTTACAATATGAAAGGGAAATATGGCTCAACTGTATTATGCAAACTGTACATTTGAATAAAATAAAAATAATAAACATAATCTTTTGGTGAAGATGCAATCTCTTTAATACTGATTTTTTTTTTTCAAAAGGTTGTTAAGTGATGTTTAAAGAAGTTTAAATGTGAAAATCAATTTTTCTTATTTTTTCTTATTTAGTAAAGAAAGGGTCATACACATGGAGGCCCGTCAGATATTAAGAGAATCAGTTGGTTGTGAAGGCAAATACTGTTTAATTTTTTTTTTCTTAAATACATTTTTGTGGTTTTATTTACTTTCATTTTAATTTCATTTATTTTTATCATGGGGCATTTTGTTTCATAACATGGCAAAAGGGTAATGAATGAAATAACACTAGTGTTATAATTGTAGCACTAAATTGTAAAAAGGGTGTGTGGTATTTTAAAACTTCTTGCTTTGTGCCTGTAGGTGGCAGCAGAGGGCAACTAATCAAATCGCGGCTTGTTATTGCCTCCATGTAAGGATGAGGTCATCCTAGTGCACACTCCAGCCTGAACCAACCCGCACTGACAACTACAGTCAGAACAGAGTGCTCCACCTACAGTATGCGAGCTAAGAGCCTTATAAAGGACACTGTGATGTTTAAGTGTGCAGCCAGTATTATGGCACTAACACAAAAACACAGGATTAAATGTATAATCTCATTACATTCAAGCCTCAATATGTGACTCAGAGGCCAGTCTATGTTTGTGCAGGTGTGTGGGTGTGTGCACAGATGCATGTGCATGGCGAATATCTTTAAAATGTGCTGGAGTCTGACAGGCCCGAAGTATATCCCACCATAACTCTCAATTAAAGAAAAATCAATCACACCCTACGCTCAGGCCCCTAATCCAATCAGAGCATTATACTGTTTGGAGGCATCATCAAACACAGAGATGGCCACCGTGCTTTGTGATTGTCTTAATTGGATAATTCACGCTGGCTTAGAGGGGTGGTCTTAGTCTCTGTCCTTCCTGGACTACAGCCTTGAATACCCCCTGCTGACAGAGCGAAGGTGGAAAATAGCTTGCACTTTGTCTTTTCTTTATTTAAAAAAGGAATAGAGACTGATCAAAATAAGCACATTATACCAGATTATGCCTTTATACTTATGGGCTTTACCTGAAATGTGGGCGACCTTGGATGGAATCAAGTTTTAAGAGAGCACAGGTGACAACTCCATTTGGGTAAATGCTTAAATGGAGCTCAGACATTACACTGACACACTTAAACTACCAGGTTATGGAATGTTTGGACGAAATGTGCCCTATTCAAAGAAGAAATTGTATTGAGGATTACATGTGTTTGCTTGCCTTTGTGCTAAAATCAGCACTTGCTCTACACTGTTAAGACTCAGACAGGGGCAACTCAGGTAAATCTTCTTATCTTGGTGTAGAATAAATCAGGCAAATGCCAGCAGAGATACTGCAGCAGGGTGTTGAAGGGACACTCTGACACTTATTTGGTTCATCACATAGATAGACACGTACGACATAGAAATAGAACAGAAGGTGCATATCTGTATCCTGTTTTCATTTATCTTAAAATATTCAATTCTGATATCATAGTGGTTATGAATTATATAAAGTTAATAAAAAAACAAATCCCAGTCACATACAGTTGTTTGAACACAGTATTTCTGCACTCACACAACACACGCCCAGACACCCTGACCTCCCTCTGAGCATGCAGCCAGCAGTTGACTCCATAGTTCTCTGCAGGAGCCAAACTGCTGCATCAGGTATTCTCTTTGATGTGAAGGGAACAAAAAGCATTGCACAGTGTGAATACGTGTAGACCGACTATCTGCTGTAATCCTGTACAGTGCACACTTCAGACTGCTGCTATAAATGAACGCGTTTGTGCTGCACTATCCTGCCTGGGTAAATGTGTCAGTGAACACAGATAAACAATAGCGTCCAGTCTTTTTTGATAGAGCATGTCTGTGAGCCGGCTGATGTGTATATTGTGATGAAGGTCTCACTATTGAACACGTAAACCAGAGAGATATACTGTTCAGTTAGAGTTCAGTTTTTTTACACTAAAAAAGATTTTTTAGAATTTACAATACAATATTTCTTATAATATATAACTGTGATGTAGGCTGTAGATTTTCAGTAAAATATTTGCAGGCTCATATATTGAAGAAATATCTTGTTTTGGTCTGCTGTGAACGCGCATTCCTGCACACAAAGCTCGAGCACGTGCAAATGGTCGCGCACCCTGCACAACATTCAGCCCTCCCTGGAACAAAGAAGATGTGAACCAGGCTATTTTCTCAATTCAAGGTGGAGGAGGAGGAGGAGGAGGAGGAGGAGGAGGAGGAGAGGAGGGAGGTTCAGAGCATCACTTACAGGATGGAGGACCATCTAGGATTTCTCCATCTATATCGCCCTGGCAATAATAAACGGGATGACGTAATCATGAACGAGGTAGAATGGACTCCTGAGGATAAGGGGGCGTGGCAGATAAGATTGAAACTAATTAAAGGCAAAATCAGACATTAAGGAGCAACCAGAGAATGATGTGACTAAAAAATGTGTAAGACGTCAAAAAATCAGATCACATGATGTGCATCAGATTCTTTTAATGTTTAAGACACATCATGTAAGTGACATAATATCATAAAATTAGCCTAATTTTCTTTTGTAAATAACCCATGCTTAATAAATAGGCTACATAAATACAAAACGTCGTATTAATTGAAATGGCATTTAACATCTCAGTGAACGTATCAGCATTTCACAGGATGTTCAATAAAATACCATGAAAGAAAATCTTGTTTATAAAGATAACACTTACATAATCTTTTGAATCAACAGCAGTTACTGATCTTTTCAAAAAAATTAATGCACATATCTTTTATTAACTCAAGTTTTGGATGATGATGATAGGTCATAGCTCAATTTTTATTTCAAACTCTACAATTACTTGAAAGTGCCAGGAAAAAATGCACATGCATTAGCATTATGTACTCTTCATTTGAGTTTCTTTTAAGAAAAAAAAAAAAAAATCCCAAATGTTTTAGGCTACATATCTAAAACTTGAGTCATTTCTTTGATCAGCAATTTGATCAATTGATTATTAAAGCTAAAATGACGGTATTATGTAGCTGAAGCACACCTGTAGTGCAGGTCACACCAGGACGTGTCCACCTGACTGAACGGGATATATACATCCGTTTAGACATTGACAACAGAACTGTCTTAAATTAGCATATTTAATGTGTTCCTGTACATGTCTGCGTCAGTCACGACATGTCAGGACGTGTCCCAGCGTCCACCTGTGCTCGGGCTTGCTTCGTGGTAATGGGCTGCAGTGTCTCTTTAAAAGGCGATCCCATGCTCAGGATCCAGGGGGCTGGCTCTTCATCCACTTGCATGCTCGTGTCTGCGTGTATGCGTGTACGTCAGAGTGTGTATGTGTGTGGAGAGCAAGTCGAGATACAGTAGTAACCCAGAGTGAGGTGGCAGTCATATTCCACATCGACACTGACTTGCCCTGCATACATCTCTCAACTGTCTCTGTATCGAGAGCGCACTTAAAACACGAGTGAAAGGAGGAGAGAGTCAAGATGGCATCTGGACGTGTCCGTGGACAATCCGGGATATAGTCTCGTATTTCTTTCAAATTTGGTTCCTAAGAGCGCAAGTGACTGGCCGTGCAAGGTATTTCATATTTAAAGTGTTCAGAGCGGATTTTATTTCCCACAGAGATCAGGTCTGAACACTTTCTCCTCTGACATTGATCTTGGGTGGATTTAGACTCTTGCAACAGGACGAGATGTTGAGTGGAAGCTGCTGTTCATGAAGGCAGTAGTGTTTTATAATGAAGTGATGTCTCAATTTAATTCTTTTTTTATCATCTTTACAAACAGCGTTATTGACACGAGCATGTCAAACCCCCCCCCCCCACGCTAAGCCGTTGTATTGTAGGCTTTATTTAAATCTGTGTTTGGCTCTGACTGAATGTGTTTGGTTCATTTCTCTCTTTTTGTCCTCAACAGGAGGTAATAACCAAGTTGCTCCTTGTTGGAATAGCAACAAAGGACGGCGGCGCGCATTCATGGGACGCGTCTTTGACAGCTCTTCATTTCTTCGTTTGTAACTTTATTACCTGGCAGCTGGCGGTGAGATTGTGACTGGAGTAAATAGACCATGGCTGAGGCTCAGCTCCCCGACCCGCTACCGGACTTGGACGTGGCCATCGACCCGGACTTTGAGCCCCAGAAGCGGCCCAGATCGTGTACCTGGCCGCTGCCTCGACCAGACTCGAACGCGGTTAAACCTGGGAGTCATGACACAGATATTATCCCCGAGGAAGAGGACGATGATGAGGACATTGCCACCCCAACAGCTATCAGTATCAACGGCTCTGGCGAGGCGGTGGAGGACCAGAGCAGCAGCAGCCCCGTGCCCGACGGAGCGCTCTCCTCCCCCGGACAGGAGAGCGGTGGCTCCCCGCTCTCCTCGCACTCCCCGTCGGCCACCTCTGGAGCCCTGACTCCAAGCGGCTTGGCTGCCCAGCAGACCCCGAGGAAAGCTTCATCTCGCCGTAACGCCTGGGGGAACCTCTCCTACGCTGATCTGATAACCAAAGCCATTGAGAGCTCTCCGGACAAGCGACTGACACTGTCCCAAATTTACGACTGGATGGTCAGATCCATCCCCTATTTCAAAGACAAAGGAGACAGCAACAGCTCTGCAGGATGGAAGGTAAGAGTCCCACTCTTCTCTCTCACTCACTCACCCAGCCCCCTCCTTCCTCTATCAAAACAAAAACAAAAAGCATGTGGCTTGTAAACCCACTGACGTACCCACACAGACAGACACACGCACACTATTACACCAGCCTGTTTTTTTACGAGCATCTATTAGGAAGGTCTGTCGCTCATTATTCCTCTCATTATTATTCTGAGGGAAATTCTTGAAAATCGTCGTGCAAATGGGGGAAACAAATCACACCAGGGAGGCATTAAAGGTCATTCATCTTTTAAGACAGCGTGAGGTCGGGTGACCTGCACATAATTGTCTTTTAAATTCACCAAAATACAAGACATTGCACTTATTCACAGACATTAAAGCATCAGCCGTCCTTTGTCTTTTTTTTTCTTCTTTTTTTTATGTGACGTTTCTCATGTGCATGTTATTCCTCTGCTGCCACAGCCGCTGTCACATGGCTGGAATTAGAGCAAACAGAGACATTGTAACCGGTTTGTCTGGAAACACAGTAGCCTATTTCGAGTGACACAACCCTGTTTTAAGTCTTAGCGAATGATACTATTACATAAGACAGTTTACTGAACAGCAGCTTATCCATTCATAGGACAAGGAGGCGGTTGGATGTAAACAAAACGATTTAACATTAATGCTGCCTGGAAGTGTGAATCCTGAAACGACCTCCACACTGTAAAAAAACCTATTGGTTACACATACTTCCATTGACGGTTTTTTTTTTTTTTGTAGTCCTGAAAAGTAATATCAGGGTTGTATAACTTTGTGTTTATATTATTTGAGACAAAATTTATGTCATGCTACTGTAAACCTGTTTGCTGTTTGTTATGTAAACCTCGGCAGGGATCTGTCAGTCTCTTGGGTCAGGTAGACAACTGCCAAGGTTGCTAGTCCTGCCATGGGAGAATTACATAACGACCCGGTTGCCGAGAGTTTGGGTTTGCTGTTAGACGATCCAGTCCCTCCCTGAAAGAGACATTTAGGACCCACAGAAGGAGGGAGTGCGGCGCAGAAGTCCAGGGAGCAGAGATTAATACCCATCAGAGACTGGGGGAGCAGTCCCATGGGGTGGGGAGCCTATGGGCAATTTTTTTTGTCAGGGTTCCTCAAATGTTTGGTATGTGATATGCTTCAGTGAATAGAAAAAGAGGGAGATTGTGTGCGTGCGTGTGTGTGTGTGTGTGTGTGTGCGTGCGTGTGTGTGTGTGTATGTAGCTCCACAAAGTCAAGGCTGAGTTCACTATCACCCTCCAGGACCGTTCACTCCAGGAATCTCGGGCATGAGGGCCAGCATGTCGGTGGTTTAGTGTAACTTGAGGTCTGCCAATAAATCTCAGCTCACAGCCTGGGACTTTTTTGGTTTCATGTACTCAACACAGACTTCAGTTATCTATTTTTCCAACACAGTATTGTGTCAACACAGTGAATCACAAATAAATCGTTTGGAAGGAGCCGAGACTTTTCTTTTAGGATAATGAATCTTTTAGTAAATATGTTACAGAGGCCGATACAGACCTCCAGGCACTAGCATATTATTTATAATATTGGAAGAAAAAAAACTGATTGCTATCATTTTTCTAACTTTGACTAAGAATACACTCTCTGCTATCAACACAATCTTGTTATTTGTTATTGTCCCACGATTATTAACTTGAAAATGTTGTTTTTTTGGGAGTTAACTGGTATTATTGTATTGGATCAGTGCTTTGAATAACACACTTAGAGATACTTGATAGAGCATTTTAGACAGTTTCTCCTACTAACCTACCTGCATGTTTCTCAGTGTTAAGACTTGAGTGAGCCCAAAGCTGTACAACGTTTTAGTGAGGAGCCCATGAAACCCAGGACTACCCCTTTACGTTGGCTTTTTTTGCTTTACTTGACAGAGTCCCTTTACTCTCCAATTCACTTTCAGAGACTCTAATGGTTCCACACAGAGCCCGGTTTGAACTCCTACAGTTTCATGCAGTCAGGGCACTTTTGTTGAGGAGATTTGCTGAGCAAATCCCTGTAATCCCCCTGGGTTTTTCTCCCAGGTTCCTAATTACGTCATGCTGTTTCATATCTTTGTCGGTTAACTATTAGCCCTGGTAAAAGCAAGTTAGGACAGCCAAGTGTGCATTGGAACACTGTCATTTTTCAAAACTTTTTTATGGTTTCCTGGTATTGGTAAGGAAATGCCAGGTTAACTCCAGTGATTAATTATTTAAACAGAAAGTTGCTTTTTTTGTTTTTTCTTTGTCAATTTTACACATTTTTATTGAGTTAAAGTTTTTGTACATATCTCTGTTGTTTGACAAAATTGAACTTGTTAGAATACAGATTACTTTAACAAATGACAGCACAGATGTTTTGTAGTGTTGAAGCGTCCACACGCCACACAGTTTGTGTTAAAGTTTTCCACTAGGACTTCTACTGAAGAAGTTCAGGTGTGATTCGTAGCTTCTGAAATGTGTGCTAAGAGAAGCTTTGGCATGGCAGGGGAGTGACGCGCTTCATCTCAAAATAGCACCTGTAAACACGCCTTTAACACTCTGTGTGTGTGTGTGTGTGTGTGTGTGTGTGTGTGTGTGTGTGTGTGTGTGTGTGTGTGTGTGTGTGTGTGTGTGTGTGTGTGTGTGTGTGTGTGTGTGTGTGTGTGTGTGTGTGTGTGTGTGTGTGTGTGTGTCACTTGAGTGTCTTTGCATAATCAAGAGATTAGATGCACCTTTGTCTATTTGTGTGCACATACACAGGCAGAGCACAAAAATATGTGTGTGTGTGTGTGTGTGTGTGTGTGTATTCCTGCCTGCAGTGAACCTTGCACTCTTGTGTTACTTAACCCCTGCTGTAACAGGCTCCCTATTCCCAGCAGCTGCCCATCATAGGCCAAGACCGAGTTATGTCACAGTGACACTAAACACAAACACACATGTCTGATATTCTCATTTAAGGTTATGAGGTTTCTACAGCCACATCACAGGACATACAGTTCTTTCTAGATATGGTTGATGGCTCGAGTTCTCGTGTGTGTTTTTAAACTGGCTATACATTCCCCTACACACACACAGACATGTTGAGACACACAGAGCAGTTGTCTGGTCATGTTCAGGGTTATCACAAGGGTTCATGACTGTGAGCGGCTGCTGCAGGTCTTCATTTATACCCTGGTCTGAAATTAGTTTGCCTCATTATCATTGACAAGATAACTTTTTTTCTTCAAGACCCCTTGGGCTGCAACGTGGAGTGATTATTGTCAACAAGGGGTTGTGTTCTACCCTGTGTGTTAGTCTTAAACTCAGTGTTTAATTGTACATCATGTTCAGCTCAAACCACAAACTGGTGAGTCATGACCACAAGGGTTCAATAGATTTTCATTCAATCTGCCTCTTGACAAAGAGACCAAAAAAAGATTTGGTTGTTATATTGAGTACTAACTGCTCTTCACACATTCCCCCATCTGACTTTGTCCATTGGCGTATTTAAGACAGACCCTCACAAGCCCACCAGGCGTGTTGATTATCATTTTAATGGCCTAGCACACTGAAAGTGTTGATTCTATGGGGCTGAAATTATTTATTGTTCCAATCAGAGCAGGACGGGGTTGACAAAAGAGAAGGGGCTGCCAAGAAAAAGGAAAACAACATTAGTCCTTTCATTGGCTGTCCATCAATGCGGAGTTTGGCAAGCTTTGTGTTGGCGATCTCAGAGTATAAGCTCTGAATAGCCCATCGAGCAGCTGTTGACTGCAGTTTGAACTTTAAAGAATTATCTGAGGTCTATATGACTTGTAAGGAAATTCTTATGATATTGAAGAAACCACCATTAAAAAGATAAGCAAGGAAACAGGGGCTGTCTGTGTAAATATGTGTGCGCTCAGGTACTCAGAAACCAATCTGGAGGCCTCTCAGATGGAGCTGGCGCTGTGCCAAGCTGAAGGAGCTGAAGCAAAAAAGGCAATAAAATAAGGGAGAGTGGAGGGGGAGGGGGGTCAGAAAGGAGGCTTGAAGACAGTAGAAGAAGGAGGAGAAGGGAGGGGGTGCTGTGGGAGTGAATTAACAAGCTTTGCTCCAAATTGGTGTATTACAACTGGCCTCTGGCTGTGATTCCCAATGGAGGGTTTGTTGGTGTGTGAGGCCAAAGGGGGCGATGGGTTATGGGAACCCACCAGCTCTAGACACCCCTCCAGGTCTATGTAGTTTCACTCCGAGAAGTCAAGCTCAGCATGGGGGAGAACCCCCAGGCTCTGTTCTAGTTCCATATCCAATCAATGGGCATGTTTTTCCCTTGAAATGCCGGTGGAATTCTGCTTATTTTACATTTGAAAATTAGCCTAACTGGACAAAAATGTGCAGAGTTGTGAACCTTACACCCATATTTTATTGCTTTACATTTATTGCTTTTTCCAAAACCATTTACAGTATTATGCATAAGGAGCCTCAGGCCTTCATTTAAGGTTTCCACAAGATTTAGAGAACCTGGCTGCAGGGATTTGATCTGAAACAGCTAAAAGAGCATTAACAGGGTCAGAGAGACATTAGGTGACAGGTTGCTTGAAATCATTGTTCGGGTTGGCTGGGGTTTTGGTGGGTCAGTAGGTCTGCAAGTCAGTAAAGTTCCTCCATTCAAAACAATGGTTGTATAATGTAGGATTAAAAAAAAATGTCCATAAAGGTGTGTTTTAACATTTTGGAAATCCAGATGTTGGCTTTTTTCAAGAGTCAGGTGAGGAATTTAAATCTATTTTATGTCTTTAAACCTGAAGCCAAGGTCAGCAGTCAGTTAGCTTAGCGTAGCACAAAGACATATAACGGTAATGTACTTTCTCGTGTGTTTGTGTTAGTAATTTTTCTGCGAGGAAGTATGGCAGCAGAGCACATTTTAATGTCTCTCATTTGTTTTCCCATCATACCCAACCATGTCACACTCTACACGATCAGATCTCCTCAAAGACCCTTGTGAATTATTCAGTGCGCTCGGGATGAATTCAGATCAGTATTAAT